TGTCTGCCGTCTCCCAGCGTCCCATGTGAGACTGGATCTGGTGGACCTGCTTGTGTGTTTGCTGGTACAGCGGTTCCATGTCGCCAGCTCAGCCGGGTCCGGCTCCGGCTTCCTCCGAACCTGATTCTGCTTCTTGAGTGTGTCCCTTATTTATGCGAGGAGTTGAAATCTACAGTTGGATTAAGCTGCAAAAGCGCAGGTGGTTCCTTTTGTGCCACTGGCACAGCTTGGGCGGGATGTAAATTGAGTAGGGCAGGATCTCTGGGAATCACCAGGGAGGAGCAAAGAGCAATGGTGTCTCCGCGACTCCTCGCCTCTCCGTGACTCCGCGTCCCCGAGTGCCGGCGAGCAGCTCCACAAGAAAGCCACCCTCGCTCTCTGACCCGCTGCAAGGCCATCCCGCCTCTCCCCGTAGGGGTCTGGGACCTCAGAATCCCGCCCCAAACAAGCTCAGTGGACTCAAGAGTCTGCAGCCCCTTCTGATTGAAAAAAACCGCGCATCCAGTTGCAGCCCGCCTGGCGCGTGACTCCGTACCTCTGTTCTTGGCGCCTCTGTACATCCTACTCAGTCTCAATGCTATTCTTTCTTTCCTTCCAGTTGTAGAGCTTCCACTGGGCCAGCTTTCCCATGGTTCTGAATGATAGCTGTTTGTCTTATAGTTGGTAGTTTCAATGTTGTTGTGGGAGGCAGCATGCACAGGTCTGTACCTTACGCCGCCATCTTGGTTCCTCAGAAATTTAGAGTCTTAATTGAGTCTGTGGGAGCTAGAAACTCAAGTAAGAGATGGTTGTTATTTCTATTAAAAAATAAAAGCAATCTGTAAGAAGATTCTTAGTTACACTGTTACATTTTAAACATAGGTTTTGTTTGTTTTTTTCTTTTAAAATGTTACCTTTATTGTTTAAAGTATTACAGATGTCCCATTTTTCCCCATTGACCTGCCTTCACTCTTCTGTCCCCTCCCCAGGGCTTCACCCCACTATTATCTGTGTCCATGGGTTATGCCTTTAGGCATGTAAGCTCTTTGGTTGACCTCTTCCCTCCCCTGCTCCACCTTCCCTCTGAGAATCCTCAGTCTGTTGCATGCTTCCATGTCTATGGATTTATTTTGTTTGTCAGTTTATTTTGTTCATTAGATTCCAATATGAGTGAGATTATGTGACACTTATCTTTCTCTGACTGACATTTCACTTAGCATAATACTCTCTAAGTCCTTCCATGATGTCCCAAAGGGTGAGAGATCCCTCTTTTTTACTGCTGCATAGTACTCCATTGAGTAAATGTACCACAGCTTTTTTGTCCACTCATCTACTGATGGGCACTTGGGCTGTTTCCAGATCTTAGCTATTGTAAATAGTGCTGCTGTGATTAAGCACAGGCTTTTAAAGTGTATGTCAAGAAGTTGTTAGGAAGTATACTGGAGAGTATGGATATCTGGTTTTATAAAAACAGGGAGGCAAATAAATTGATGTTGCCAGTGTTTAAATAGCATGATAACGTGTATTATTTCAAGTGTTTTTCAGTAATTGTTTAAAATGTATTTTTAAAATTAGTTTTCTTATGTGTCTTTAGTACATTCTCAGTTCTTAATAGTTTCCCCCACACCCAGCTTTTATCACATGCAGACCTCAGGGGTTCTTTGACCCATTCTATTAGTTTTCAAGGACCAACAGCTTAAAATGCCTTCAAGAGGCAGGATCATGGGGTTGTAGTTCAAACAGTTGGAACAAACTGCCTATCTGGATTCTAGGTGTCTCTACTGGAGGAGGGTAGATAGACCCTCAGCTTTCACACATAAATCTTGATAGAGAAAAAGGAATTTGTTTGAAAAGATTTGTTTTAGGATGAATCAAAATGTGCTTGAATGTAACATTCTTTTGCCTGCAGTTGAAGCTGTTGATATGTGATTTAGAAATGGGGCAAGACAAATGTGATTTCATTCTAGCATAAAATTTTCATAGTTGTCATTTTATTTTTTTTTTAAAAGGGCTGTTAGCCCTAACAGTTTGGCTCAGTGGATAGAGCGCCAGCCTGCAGACTGAAGGGTCCCAGGTTCGATTCAGGTCAAGGGCATGTACCTTGGTTGCGGGCACATCCCCAGTAGGGGGTGTGCAGGAGGCAGCTGATCGATGCTTCTCTCTCATCGATGTTTCTAACTCTCTATTCCTCTCCCTTCCTCTCTGTAAAAGATCATCACACAGTTTTAAATACTTGTACTTTTATTTTGTAACTAGAAGCCCGGTGCACGAATTTTGCACCAGTGGGGTCCCTTAGCCTGGCCTGCGGGATCAGGCTGAAACTGGCTCTCTGACATCCCCCAAGGGGTCCCAGATTGCGAGAAGGCACAGGCCAGGCCGAGGGACACCACCAGTGCATGATCAGGGCCAGGGAGGGACAGGGAAGGTTGGCCAGCCAGGGA